GTTCCAAGGCCAGGTTGCATGGGACTTTGAGCAGCCTGGTCTAGTGGAAGATGTCTGTTCCCTCAGCAGGGCGGTTGGACTAGATGACCTTTAAAGGTGTCTCCCAACCCAAACCATTCTCTGACTCTCTGCAGTGTTAAAGAAGAGCTCTCTAACTCTTGTCCATAAGACTTAAAGGACTTTGTACGACAGTGGCAGTAATCAAATTAATTTTTTGTGGATTTGGCCCACTTTGTCATGTATATCAAGTGAGTTGTGTTCTACGGAATCTGGAGTCATTCCTGTTATGTTGGGGGGAGGTAATCCCCACTGTGAGAACTTGAGAATTCTTCAAAGGAAAAATTGCAGTTACCAGCACTTTCTACTGACAGCTGTACTGAGAATATGACTTCAAATTTGCTTCTGACTGTGAAGTTTTCTTTAATTTAGTTGTAGGCTGTAGAAAGTATTATTTATGAGAACAGGTTGTTGAATGGTTGCCTTACTTTTTTTTAAAGGTTCATAATACTGAAACTGCTTCTTTCTAATATTATTAGGAACAAACTATATACTTCTTTGCATAAGCTGCTTTCCACTGTGCACCTGCATGAGCTAGCATCTGTGGAACATTTTGGTTTTTCTTTTTTAAACCAGGTTTGAGAAGCGTATTTATATTCCTTTACCTGAGGACCACGCCAGGGCTGCAATGTTCAAACTTCACCTTGGGTCAACTCCAAACCTCCTAACGGAATCAGATTATCGAGAGCTTGGAAAGAGAACTGATGGCTATTCTGGTGCAGATATAAGCATCATTGTACGTGATGCGCTGATGCAGCCTGTTAGAAAAGTGCAATCAGCTACTCACTTTAAAAAAGTAAGTAGGAATCAAAAAATTTTGCAAGTTGTGTCATCTCTGAGAACTATCTTAATTTGAAAACTCCTTCCAAGTAAACTGAATTTGGTTTTTGGTAATACTGCACACTTATGAAAGCCCTTACCAGGGGACAACTTGGATATTCTCCCTCTTCCCATCCCTCCCCCTAGTCTTACCCTGAGTCTGGTGGAGCTAATTTCTGGGTATTCATGCTGTGTAATCCAAGCTCTGATGGCTATTCATGTGTCTAGGTGGTATTAAAAGCATTCAGTTTGAAGTTTGACTTAAATAGGAGTGTTGGAGAGGTGCTGTTTTTCGGGATCGAGTTGCATGGTTCTTTGTGGTTTTATAGCGTGTTTTAGTAAATGTGTCCCTTGTCCACGTGGGAACAGATGGGTTGTGGTTGTGCACATTCTGCTCTTTGCATTATTTTTCGATGTGAAAAATTAAGGTTCTTCTAAAGTTCTGGGAAAAACGTTGAATCAATGTTACTTGTGACAGTAGTAAAGATGTAAAGACAACTGAGCAAGGTCTGTATTTCATTGTTTGGGCAGCATGCAGCATCCTATGGATGCTGCTGCAATGTGAAACCTAGGTTACACTTACTTAGGTGCACTCTACAGAGATGGTTGGAACTATGTTGTTTGGCTTATCTTGCAGTTACCTCTACATACCATGTACTGGCTTGAGAAAGGTTTCTGCTAAATGTTCTGATCATAGAAACTTTACCTGACAAAGACCCAACTAGAGTTCTTTAGCACCCATCTAAATCTGTTAAATCTGGGAGTGCTTTTTTTTCCCCCCAGAGAATTTGTGCATATGGGTCTTGTTCAGTCAAATTAATTGTTCCCTATTAAGCTCTTCAATGGAAAAGTAGTCTGATAATGTTATCGGTGGTTATAAACACTTCCAAATACATACAACATGTGTATTGGTTAAATAAAATTATATTTCTCCTGTATAGTATTTTTTTTTAGAGTAGACCCAGACTAAAAGTATTTTTTGTTTACATTTTTACTGCAAACTTTGATTTTATAGAAATTCATGTATTGTGGGGGAAGGTGGGTCAAGGTATTCTACAGAGGTTTCTCCTGCTGTAAAGGGAAGCTTTCATTTTGTTGCTCTTTAAAAGAGCAGGTGTGGGGTTGGGTAAGGTAGCAAAAATTACAGATTCTAAGCTGTCGAGAGATACATACCATGTAACTCATGTTGGCAGCAGTTCTTGGTCATCTCTGTTAAAAATACAATTTTTTTTACCAGTAACTCAGCCTGAGATAAAAGGGGTAAGGGCCCTAAACTGAACAGCTACAATTATTTTGAACTGAAGATAGGCTTTCTTTTTTTCACATAGTTTCTTCCAAGGAACACATTCAGCTTAGGATTCGAAAAGAAAGGAACACTTAAATCAAATATGGTCCAGAATATGAGAGGACTATGTAAGTTTCCAGAGTCTGCACTGAGGAAACCTTTGTCAACTTTGTTGTTACTAAAATAAACCTGTAGCCTCTCATTTTGGTGAGGGGGAAAAAGGAAACCAAACATTTCGAAGGGTTTGTGAGGAGCTTTTCCCAGGTTATAAACAAAACAAGTATTTTGAAACACTGGTTTGATAAGTTTCCTCTGGAGGTGCTCAGCAGTAACACTGTAAACTGTATTTGTTTAAAAATAAGCAGCTGGTCTGATATATCAAGGATTTTCTAGATGCTTCCTTCCCTTAAGCAGTGATGCCTGAAGTATTTACCCATTGTTGACTTTGAGTGAGAAGGGCATTTCTGGCTAAAGGGCTGCTACCTTTTAGCCTTTCATTCAAATTTGTAAGAATCTGAGGCATGTCTCAGACTACCACGGAGCACGGAAATAACCTCAGCTGTCACAAGCAACCCAAAAGCAATTCTTACCTCCTTTTGCCCCCCAAAAGGAAGGAAAAAACTCCACAGCTGCAGTATTTTGAGGGCTCTGACGTGAGCCAGGTTGATTCCACTTGTGTTTAGTACTTTAATTGGATGCGATTTCCTATTTTTTTAAGCAAGATCTTGGCTTTATTAATTATTTGCTTCATAACAGACAACTTGCCCCAGCTGAACAACGCCTTCCTCAGTTACTGCTAATTCACTGTAACCCATTCCTTGCTCTGTGTGATCATACAGAATTGTCGGAGGTGTACGATGCTTCGGGTAACGATGAGGGATGATAAAACTGTGGGTCCTAGGTAACGTTGCAGAAAGGGAACAGGCACCTGGTGCGGTTGTTTTGGGCCTGTCCGTGTGTCTGGCAGAAAAGGGTGCTTTCTGTGCTCCCACTAGATGGCTGTGTCTTCTGGCGAGTGCCGCCGAGCTGCTGTCGGAGAATCACAGAATAGTAGGGGTTGGAAGGGACCTCTGTGGGTCATCTAGCCCAACCCCCCTGCCCAAGCAGGGTCACCTACAGCAGGCTGCACAGGATCTTGTCCAGGCGGGGCTGGAATATCTCCAGAGAAGGAGACTCCACAACCTCCCTGGGCAGCCTGGGCCAGGGCTCCGTCACCCTCAGAGGGAAGAAGTTCTTCCTCATGTTCAGACGGAACTTCCTGTGCCTCAGTTTGTGCCCATTGCCCCTTGTCCTGTCACTGGGCACCACTGAAAAGAGCTTGGCCCCATCCTCCTGACACCCACCCTTCAGATATTTGTAGGCATTTATAAGGTCCCCTCGCAGCCTTCTCTTCTCCAGGCTGAACAAGCCCAGCTCCCTCAACCTCTCCTCGTAGGGGAGATGCTCCAGTCCCCTCACCATCCTCATAGCCCTCCGCTGGACTCTCACCAGTAGCTCTTCATCTTTCTTGAACTGGGGAGCCCAGAACTGGACACAGTACTCCAGATGGGGCCTCCCCAGGGCAGTGTAGAGGGGAAGGAGAACCTCCCTCGTCCTGCTGGCCACACTCTTCTTGATGCAAGAAGATGGTACTCAAAGCTGCGTAGTCCGGCATGTCAAAGATCAAAAAGCCATCTCTGGCTTCCAGGCTCGGGGGGCAGTCAGGGATAAATATTGAGAGATTTTTAGAAAGCTGTTAACCAGTGATGAATGGACTCCCAAAGTGACCAGGGACTAGGAAGGGTGGTGGTCTCCGACTCAATTTCCTGGCATGTCAGCTTTCCACAGAAATCCTCAGCTTAGCAGGAGGCGGCTCCTGGGATTTGGCCTGATGGGAACTGAAGCATCTGGCTACAGCTGCATGTTTTTGAAGTGAATGATGCTGGTATATTTATACAATTTTTTTCACAGGACATGTCTTCCCAGGAGGTGGGACGCCTGCACAAAATCAAGGAGTATTTTTGCTCTAACAATGCTGTTCAGCTTCTGGTTTTTGTCTTTAAAATTATAACTCCTATAAACTGAGTGTTTTCTTATTTTTAGGTAAAAGGACCATCGCTGTCTAATCCAAATACGATGGTAGATTTGTTGACCCCTTGCTCTCCAGGAGATCCTGAAGCCATAGAAATGACATGGATGGATGTTCCAGGTGATAAGTTACTGGAGCCTCAGGTTTCCATGGTAGGTAGTCTTTTGCCACGTTTCTTTCTTGCTTTGCAGAACTCTGAAAAGACTTCAAGGTAAGGGCTATTTTTCAAATGGTTATGCAAGACAATCAGAGGAGTTGTTTGTTGCCAGAAACGCTGGACATAACATTTGAATTGCCAACATAAAGTGCTGCAGTACAGCATGCTTGTGGAAAAGCCAGCTGTCTATCCCTGATAAACATTTCTTTCTTACTGTTCTTGCGTGCTGGCGTGCAGCCGCTGTCCTTCCATCCACAGACAGCATCTGGCTCTTCCACTGCGCTCTCCCTTGCCTTACATCAATTTAAAACCTTTGGAATCCCTGCCCCACGAGGTGCTTCCTTCCCATCGCTCTGTAGCTTTGATACTGGGAAATGGAACGTTATATTCAGTGTAAATTGGGAAGTGAGGTGCTGTAAGTAAATACTACCCATGAAATAAAGGCAAGCATAAAGAATAAAATGTGAAAAGATGGTGGATGTAATGGTGGCTTTGGTTAAATTTCATCACAGGTGATCCAGCTCTTTCAGCTGTTTTCTTTGTGCGTGGTAAAATACTTGCTTTTGTCTAGGGGGTGGCGTATGTCGTTTTAAGACAAATTGAAATTTTTGTTCACTGTTTAAAAAGAAAAATTTGCTGGACACTCATTCTGTGTTTGTCCCCAAGAGCAACACAATAAGATTCCGAATTTAAGTGGAATGTTTGAGGGAAGGGCTTGATATCAAATCCGTGCCGCTGTCAGTTCTTGTGTGCGCGCAGTCCTGTGGTGAACGAAAGCAAGCAGTGTGTCTCGTGGGAATCGCAGGCCTCTGGAGCAGTAGGCACTGTGTTGGAAATGTAACTGTCACTGGATTTCAGAAAAGCATTTTCTGTGCATATTTGCTTACTGAGGAAGCACAGAAGGATGTATGCGGGTGAAGGCCTGCCCTGAAACTTTCGCCTGTGTGGTCTAAGTGGATTTTTAATCAGTCTTCCCTGGAATTAGACATAACGGCTCCATGTGTGCTCCTAGTAGTACCTGGGCTCTGAAGCGCTGCAGTTGCACAGGGGGTTGTTTCAGAATCCAAAACCGATTGTCCAAAATCAGTTCTTGTCCTTAAAAAGATCAGGCTTAAATTCTTTCTGTGCAGGGTATTTCTAGTCTTTAGTTTTACCTATAATTTTACAGTAATACAAGGTGTTGGGCATCTGCTTTTTTCAGCTGCCTTTGGCTAGGAGCTGCTTAGTTTTTTTTATTTTTTTATATTTTTATTATCTTTTTATTAAAAGTGTTTTAACTGCTGCTTTCAACTTCACAGACCTGCGATTTTTTTGAACTCCTTTTTCCAGTATCTAAATACTTGCCTGGGAAACTGACTGAACTAGAGAGGCAGAAGCTGCCAGTCACGAACAGTAAAACTTTGCTAGAGGTGAATCGCCAACTGCTGTTCTGTATTGCTGGACTTTGCAGAGTACATGGGAACATCTGATTATTTCCCACTTTAAAGCGTCGTAGTTAAAGATGGGTTGAAAATAGTAACTGACAAAAAAAAGGGAAGTTCTTTCAGTAAAAAGATACCCATAAAACTTGTTGAATGGATGAGTGGTTTAAACCCTAAACCTGGGGTTGTGGTTTCGTTATTAGAGCTCGCTGACGGGTGTCTGTCTTCGCAGGGTGAAAATGCTGCCTCTGTGCAGAAATGTTTGGGCTGACTTAAAGCTGTGTGTAAATAGGACTTCCTGCGGTCATCTTGCTTTAAGAGGCTTTTTAATGCCTGTTTGCCTTGGCAGCAAGGTTGTTCGCAATGCTACTGGACTGGTTTCTGAAAAGCCTTGTTGTTTTTTTCTCCTGACAGGCCGATATGCTCAGGTCGCTGGCTAGCACAAAACCAACAGTTAATGAACAGGACCTGGAGAAGTTAAAGAAGTTTACAGAAGACTTTGGTCAGGAAGGCTAAACCAAAGATGTACGTGGAGAATTAGAACTTTTCTGCTCTCTTAATTATTCTTGTGTCTTTATTGATGACACTTCAAATAAATGCCAATAAAATCACTCCTTTCTTACTTTGCAGAGGGAATAGAAGATACCTTTGCAAAGACCTTTAAGCTTTTGTATTGTAATGTTTTCCTCAGATGTCTATTAAATGTCTTTTATTGAAAAAAAAATATGAAAGTACAATTTTAGGGTGAGACAGCAAAGTGATGTGGTAACGTCTGTTAAATACAAGAAGACTTTAAATGATTAGTTCAATTTTAGGTATTATATTAGACCTGGGTACAAGTGAGTTTTGAACTCCCAGTAGGCTCAAAAAACCCTTTTTTGAGGGGTGGAAGAGAACGTATTGGTGGAATAGCTGTCGGGTGTTTTCAGTATCAGTTGATCAGCCTACGTATTAATTGCTCTCATTTCATTTAGAAAACGGCAACAAAATTTGCGAATCAAGCATACTGCGAGTGTGGGTTTGCTGTTAAAGTAAGAAAGAAAACACTGTGAGGAGAAGACTGCACGGGCCAGTACTTTGTTCAAATACTGATGGAACTGGTATTTGGCTTTTTCTGCTGTGCTGTGTTAAAATTTTGCCTTAAACAGCAAGCTTTTGTTTTTAACTCTCTTGGTTTTAATTCTTTACTAGCTGATACACACTGTCACTATGCAATTTAGCAAAAGTTTAAATGCAAGTATCTCAGAAGGTGTTTTGCTGGCTGTTCTTGTTTGTTTTGTTTTTTAAATCTGGATTTACTTTCTGCAAGAATTTGACTACAGTTGGGAAAAAGCGTTAGCAATACCCTGTAAGATTCCACATGTCAAGGCTGGCAAGGTGTAGGTAGTCTTTGGAGAACGTATGGGAGGTGTTTTGGGAAACAGCATGCTTTCACACGCGAGGAGAGTGTAACAGATGTTTTAGCCATAAATTTTCCAGAGATAAATTAACTTGGAACCCTACTGGTAACTATTGCGTATGGGTTACATCAATTTAGTGCTTCAACTTGGAGAGAAGGCTGGCACTCTAGTGCAGAAGTAGCACTTCCATTGAGCTGCTGCTTCTGAACTGCAATTTGAGATGTGCCTGAATGTAACGTGCAACGCTACGGTGTCAGCATTGAGTTTGTGCCTTGGAAGTTTGCACTGGCTGTAGATAGGATCCGTCGTTAGGATACCCGGAATACTCTGTGTTGTCGTTGTACAGCTCTGTCCTGCATACGCTTTGTTTAACTTGCATTAAAAGGAATTTGCACATTTGGTGTGTGTATATGTTGTATGGACGTATACACATAGATGATCATCTTTTGGTGGGGTTTGGTTTCCTTCATGTACATATTTTGTGTACTTTATAAATCATAGGATGGGTGAAATTTGCTGTACTTAAATGAAGTAAAATGTTACAGTACAACATCAGTTGTTTCCTTTGAGTGTTTCTTCAACATAATGTTCAAGAATTTACTGCTTGATATTTTTTTTTAGACTTTGGTTTCTATGTTTAACAGCTAAACAAAGTATTTAGTTAGAGACTGTTTGATCTGCGAGGTGCTGAGCTTTTGTTTACTAACATGATGAAACCTTCTTTCCAAAGTCGTTCAGTTGCACACAGCTTTACCTTTGTCTTGCATTGGAACGTGTGAATGTGGATCAGTGGACTGCGACTCTTTTTTTGTGGACCTTTGGGGGGTGGGGGGTAGAAATTCCAGTGTAGGTGCAGGCAACTACGGTTGGTAAACTTAATCCTTGTTGCAACAGGATTGTTTTTTCTCAGTTACCTCGTGTGAAGGCGTTAGGAGTGAGCCACACACTAACAGGGCTCTCACTCAGAGGTTCGAAGCTACTATCCGAAGCACTTGTCTCTTGACCTTTTTAAAATGAGAATCCTTACTGCAATCTTAAAATTCTCAGGAACTTTATTTTTGGTGGTAGGCTGATTAGTCCTATGGGTTTCCATAAGCTGTATTGTGTAATCCATTATTTTTAATGTAGAAGAAAATTATACTGTATGTTTTAAATTTACATCTTGCTGCTTGCTCAGTTATGGGATGACATCTGTAACAGAAGCATTAATGTTTGATGTTTTAAAGTTGTTTTTAGAAATACATTCCAAATAAACATTGCTGCTTAGAATTGCAGCTACAAGGACAACTTTTTGGTGTGCTATCTTTGAAAAATGGGAAGAAGTTAATATATATATATATATATGTGTGTGTATCACGGTGCTTCCGAGCTAAGTTATTCCAGAATAGGTGATAGCCAAATGAGGAGGGGGGTGGGGCCTGCGAAATCACTTTGGTTTTCAGTGTTAATTGACAATACATTAAAGAATTTTTGAAAGGTCATCTTTGCTTTACATAATCAAAGCCTCTGTAAATACCGGGTAAATTAGTTGTGCATCTTTCATAAGGTCTGATGAATGAGTCGTCTTTACCTAGTTAGCTTGCAAATTTTTTTTTCCTGACTTCTGGTGTTACTGCTTACTCTGACTGCGTTATGAAAAAATGTCATTTTCTTTCCTTCCTGTGGGTAAAATACTTTTTCAGTGGAGTCAGTTGCATATAGGCTTGCTGTGTTTTTCACAGATGGTTTCTCCACATGGACATTAAACTTTGGATTTCCTGTCACCTGCGGTGGCACCTCAATGCATGCACTCACAGGGTCAGAAAAGCCAAATAAATTAACTTGTTACATTTTTTTTTTTTTTTCCCCCGTGTTGCCCGACTGACCTTGAATTCCAGAGTCTTGTTTCTTCCTTGCTTTACCTGTCGGCTCTGTTTTGTCATTCTCTAGCACAACAAAAACGTACAAACCTAATTTTTTTGGTTGGATTGGTTTTGTTTTTCAAATTACTGCTGGTCTTCGAATATGCTTTTGTTTTAATTAGGGTCGCAGAACACGTGTAGCTGAGACAGATCCTCCTGAATCCGCTGCTCTTCCTGCTCCTGGCTGTCAGGCGTGTCTGATCATAGTTTGCCCTTTTTGTCAACTGAAGCAAAAAAGGTCCTGAATGTTCTCTGGTCAAACATTTTGAGTCTACTTTTTGTGTTTAGTCTTCTTCCTAATAATATGTTCTGATTTTTTTTCATGTTATATTTGAAGATTATCTTGACAAGAAGCTTTCTAATAGTTCTGAATTTGTTGAAATGCACAGGAACATCTTCATTTTGCCGTTTACTCTTTCCTTCCTCCCGAATGACAAGCTTGTCTCATGATTGGCTTCCATACGTGTTTTTGGTCTTAACCAGATTCATCCTAGTAATCATGGCTGACTTAAAGCCATTCCCGTAACTTACGTAAACTATTGCAAGAACTTGGTGGACTGTTTGCTACTGTGCTGCTTTTCCAACAGATAATTAATTCTTACCAAAACATCGTTCCCTTTATTCTTAAGCAGGCAGCTTTTGTTGTAGCTCTTGTGGCATAGCTCCAGTGCTTTCCCCTTCGATTTTTCCTTAGCTTTACAGTAACAATATTTTAATCTCGTGATTTTATTACAGAAATCCTCTGTCGACATGATTAGCTGTGTAAAAACTCTTAATTGTTCCTTCATCCTCTGTCCTGGCACTTGCGTACTGACAGCCCAGGTACTCGATAAGCTCGTCCTGTTGTTTGTCTTTTGGTCCCTGTGACCTAATTACAGTTCTTGCTCTCCCTCCCTCTGCACACACACACGCCCTTCTGATGGCAGCTTTTTGACTAGGTCACCGTTTTGTGCCATTTTCTGTTTGCTCCCCTTTGCATCCTTTATCCTGCCTAAGAGGCTCTGACTTGAATGAACACTCAAGGATACTTCTTCATCACCTCCGCTCGGTGTTGAGGGATGCTAAAGTCCATCTGTCCGTACCATCTGTGCATGTGTACATCTGCCATGCGTGCAGCCTGCGAGTCTTTTGCAGAAATACTTGACGTTTTAGGCCTCAGTTATTTGGACTTCTCAACCATTAGTCATGAAAACAAAATGCGATGTCCCGTCTGCATCGTAGCAGGAGCTGAGTTCTCTTCTCAGAAGGCTTTGGTTGGGTTGGAGACACCTCCAGGAAACAAGCCACCGACACCTGAGCGCAGGCCTGGTGTTGATAATGGAGCTGGGGTTTCCTTTCCTGCTTGGTGACCCATCACCAGGCACGGTGCTGTGAATTGGCAAGACTTGCTTTTGCTTGCCCTCCCGCCTCCTCTGCTGCCTCAGCTGATTTACATCTCAGCTACTCAAGGCTGGGACTTTGCTTTCAGACATGTGCACTGTCACATGCCTGCTGTAAACTATGAGCCATAATTTCCTCTGACTCGATCTACTGTCGGCCAGTGACTGTCCACAGGTAATTTGTGACCAAAAATCTCGCCTTCTGCCACTGCTCCGTCAGTGTCTCAGCGATCATGAGTCAGCTCGGTGAGGGACCAGGAAAGCTGCTATAAATATCACCATCTCATAGAGGAAATAAAGCGGCAAATGAGGGCTGCGACTCGGGCTCTGGTAGAGTCGAGTGAATCATTTGCCCGACAGAAAGCTAGGAAAAAAATGAAAATTCAAATGATATGAATTCAAGCGATCATTTCTCTTTCCTCCCCTCCTTGAAGGCTGGAGCGTAGGCTGTAGCCAGGAGGCTCCGACCTGTCAAAGGTGCTTTTTTTTATTTTGGTAAGATTTTAGAAAATCTGGAAAAGTAGCTGACTACTGTTTTCCAATGTGCCACTTAAAATGCGAGTTGAAATGCTCATGCTCTTGCCTGGCTGAGCCTGAGCTCACTTGGAGTTTTAATGATGTTTTAATGAATTAATCACAGCCATCAATTGCTCTGTACGCAACCAAACAGCAAAGCAATTACTGCTTGTTGGGTGTTTTTAATCTTTACGCTCGCTCTTGTTTTGGTGTGGACTTGTGTGTTTATGTCCAGCCTTGCTCCGTCTCCATAATTTAAAAATATTTTCTTTTTTGATTCGTTTTTACCTGCCCGAAAACCTAATGCCCAGTGTCAGTATGGAAACGAGTTGCAGCATAACCATAGTTTCCACGGGAGCCACGGGGCCTGCTGACAGAGCCTCAGATCTTCTCTCTGCCCTCCATCTTCTCTGTCCCGAAGCTGGTGGAGGGACAGAGGAGGGCTGCCCGTATAAACAGACACAAAGGCAGACGGAGGGCTGTGATACAGACGCACGGCCACAGGCACAAACGCTGGTAACAACCGCTCGTTCTGGGTTGGGATGGGCGCAGTCCAGCGGGGAAGGAACTGCTTGGGGCAGCAGGCACAGGGTGGAGACCGCCCGGTGACCAAGGGCAGCGATGACGATGCTCCAGGCTCCGACGGGTTTTATCACAGAATCACAGAATGGTCGGGGTTGGAAGGGACCTCTGTGGGTCAC